TGATTGTAAATGTTGTGTTAAATTAATTCCAATAATTTTTCTTTTGTTTATCCAATCAATGAGTGTGTGTGTGTGTGTATGTTTGCGTGTGTTGGATGTGAAAATATATCGAGCGAAACAAAACTTTTGATGAGATCATATCGTGAAGAAATAAACAACTAAAAAATTGGGATAAAAATAAAAATTGAAAAAAAAGAAAAAATTTTCAGTCCCCATTTTTTCTCTTCACACTACATTCCATTGGTTCAAAGTGTTTTTTTTTGATGAACTTTAAAATGAACACATACATATACAATTTCTCAGGTATACCGATAGGTATATATCGTGTAAATTGTACTCATTTTACTCGTTTCGTTTCAATTTTTTTTTGCGTTTTGATTTTTTTTAATTTTGCACTGCAATCCAATTTGATTCATCATCATCAGTCATTTTATTGACAAAATTAACAATTGTTTACAATCACCAGACTTGTTGATCAATTTGATTGATTTTGTGATTGATTGAATGATTGATTTAGATCAACCAATTGTTGTTGTTGAAAAAAAAAATTTTTTTCATCACACTACAGTTGTATCTTGATTTCAAATCAATCTATCACACACAATAATCAATGAAAACAATCACATAGATCTTGTATGGCCAATAGAGAATTTTTCAACAACAAAAACAATAGTTAGTTGTAGTAGTAGGTCATTTCATTTTCTTTTTTTTTCTCCATTTTTATATACTTTGATGTAATTTGGTCAAACAAAAAAAAAATTTCATTATTACACACACACACACACACACACATGTTTATAAACAGAGATTCGGGCGAGGTTACCGTTGTTTGTTCTCAATTTGAGAAATTCAATTCAAATATTAATAAAAAAAACTTGATTGAAATAATAATAATGAAAAAAAAGGGAAGGAGAATTTTTTGAAAAATCCAAAACATGCATCGCATGCAAAAATATCCTTCTGTTTGATATAATCATCATCATCATCATCATCATTAGATGGTTATTTAAATTTCCTATGGTATGTTTACAGCTGTATGACGAGCCACACACACACACACACACACACACTTGGACGATTTTTTATCGTTAAATCATCTTGATGATTATATAATTATCATCATCATCATCATTATCATCCGTTGATAATCATGTGATTAGCTAGATTTTCATTATAATTTTGAAGAAGATGAAAAAAAAAATCTGACAATCAAAAAAAAAAAAATGAATGAATGAAAACGTAAATTTTGGTGGACATCAAACATCAACAACGACAACTGAACGGGTAAATTGTCCGTACACAAAAATATAAAAACAGAGAAAGAGAGAGAGAGAGAGATTAAACCAAAATAATTTTTTTTTTAGCCAGCCAGGTGTATTTAATATTTGGATTTTTTTCCTTCTCGGTTAGACAGACAAATAGACAGGTTAATCATTTTTTTTCGTAGTCGTAGTCGTCGTCGTCGTTTTTACATTCACCAGTTGTCCAGCCAACCAAATATTGTTTTTTTTTCTTGGTATTTTTAGTTATCCAAAAGACACACAAACACACACACCAACTGACACTTGTAAATGTTTTAGCCTACAGGTTTTTCTTCTTAATAATCAGGTAACAGGTGGATATATATATATAAATTTGGAATCGATTAGGTGTTTATATACACCTGTCATTTCTGTTATCCCATTTGATGAGAGGGCATGAAATGAAAAAAAAAATTTTTTTTTCATTGAAAAATTTTTTCACGTTTCATTTTCAAATATGATGATGATGATGATATAGTTTTGGGGCAATTTGGTGTTTTTTTTTCTTTAATGAATTGATCTGATACACACACACACACACACACAATCAAACGCATGATTAAGGTTGAAAAAGGTATGTGTGAATGTGTGGGAGAGACAGAAAATGAAAGAAAATCAATACGTTCAACGGGTTAAGAAGAAGAAAAAAAACAACAACAGCAACAACAACAACAACAAATCATTCATTCGAATCCATGTCATGAATTTTTTTTTCAATTTGATCATTTTTTGATGGATTGTCAATTTTGGTTGTAATATCAAGAATAGAATCAAGTCAACGAAAAAAAAAGAAATCATTATTATTACTGTATCATGTTTGTTGTTTGGTTTGGTTTATACGGTTCAAATTCAAATAATTTTTTGTTTTCTTTTATTCACTTGACTACGATGTGTAATGTGATATGAGATATTTTTATTCCATCGAAATAAAAACAACAAACAAACATTTATGATGGATAGACATGATGATGATGATTATGATAAGAATAGAAGATAAATGTGTAGGCAGTCATGAAGGTGAAGGTGGTGGTTTTCATTTCTTTTTTGAATTTTTCGTTTTTTGTTTTTGATTTTGTAAATCATGATATCATTATGGGTCCATTATTGGTCAAGCTACAATTTTATCTTTTTTTCCAACAACAACAACAACAATGAAAAAAAATTCGGACAATTCAATTTTGGACATTTTATTGACAAAAGAAAAAAAATTCATTATCATCTTGTAGTTTCTCATCATCAGTATGTCATGATTGTTTGTTTGTTTGTCTGACAATTTATATCCAAAACGGAAAACACCATTAACTACGTGATATACGAACGAATAGGCCAATTTAATGATGATAATAATGCTATTCATTGTGTTTCAAAATTGTAAATTGAAAAAAAAATTGGATTTAAATTTGTTCCTGAAACATACACACATACATACATACATACAATATGAAAGTTTTTTTTGTTAATGGCTAACGAATTGTTAAATTTTGAATTGGATTTCGTTTTTTTTAATTTTCAAATAGATATGCTTCAAAAAATTTAACACTTTTTTTTCCATCACATATGCCGGCAGCGACAGATTTTTTTCTTTCAATCTCTCTCTCTCTCTCTCTCTCTCTCTCTGTTTTATTTCACTATACAGCCATTCATTCATGCTTTGAATATCAGATTCAAATGATTTTTTTTTCATTCATTTGTAACAACAACAACAACAACAACAACAAAAATTTAAAATCAGAAATTGAAATGAACTTTACCGTCATCCGTATATTGTTGTTGTTGTTGTTGTTGTCGTCGTTATTGTGTTGAAAAAAGCAGAAATTTTTTTTTGTGATGACACGATTGTATGTGTGTGTGTGTGTGTGCATGTGTTTGAGTATGACACTTTCAATCGAATGAAAATGGTTGAAACACACACACACACACAAACAAATGAAGATGAGAAGAAATTTATTGAAAATGAATCAGCTTTTATTTTTTTTTGTTCATTTCCATTTTTTTTTTTTTCAATCAGCAAATCGGTTCATGTATACGCACACACATGTGCGACATTGTCATCGAAAACAATTATGCAGATCATGACGATGATGATGATGATGATAATATTAATGGCTGAATTCAATTAGATAAAAAGACTCTTTGTAATCACTTTATTTCATTGTATAAAGAAAATTTTTTTGTTTGTTTGTTTGTTTTGAATAGAAAGAAGAATGAATGAATGAATGAAAAGATTGACCTGAATTGAATTTTTAAATTTAATTCTCATCATCATCATCATTTTTAAATTGAAAGTGTAAGTTTTGTGCGTGTATTGAAGTGAAAATTATTTTAATTTTTTTTTGTCATGAAAATTTGATAATAGGTGTTAGGTGTGTGTGTGTTGTTCGAATTTCAATTGTCCGTTTCATATGAAGACGATATGATAATGATGATGATGATGATGGTCATCATCTTTATTAATAATTTCAACCTACTTATGGTAAATTCCTATGAGAAATTTTCTCTGTTGATATTGTTGATGATGATGATGATGAGAATCTCAAATTTCGTTTTTTTTTTTTTTCTTTTCTTTATTTCATTTGATGTTATGGATTGAATCAATCATCTCATATATATTAGTATCTATCTGTTTTTTTTTTTTTTTTTTGGTTTATGTTAATTATATGCTAATTTGAATGGCCAGAAAAAAAAATCGTGACCGAACAGTACCGTATCGTTGTTGTTTTTTATTATTATTATTTCTACATTGAATTTTTTTTTCGTATATTTTTGGCTTCACGATCAGATCATCATCATCATCATCATCATCAGACAAAAATTTAATGATGATCTGATGATGATGATTAAATTGTGGTTATAGTGGTGGTGATATTGTTGTTATTATTATATGTATATGTTCATTATGTGGGAATGCAACAACAAAAAAAAATGATTTACATGGTTTACATGGTTTATTGAAAAAAAACGTCTATGATGTGAAATTCTATTTTTATATCAAATCAGATTTACATTATTACTAAATTTGTTCAATGCATTCTAATGATAATTTTGTTTTGTTTTTTTTTGTTTGTTGTTTTCACTAAAAAAAAAAAAAAAATAAATAGCGATATCTTAACCAACCAATACAACAACAAATGTCATCAAATGATTGTAAACAACAACAACAACAACAACCAAAACAACAGCCACAACGATTGTGCCAAAGTGAAATGAATCTTAATAATGACAAAAATGATGATCATGATTATAAACATTCAACAATAGAATCATTATCAAACGAAATCATTCATCATCATTATCATCATAATAATCAATTACAACAAAATGATTCAGAATCCATTGATTCATCATCATCATCATCCAGTACATTACCAACATATCGTTATGGATCAAATTTAAGTTCCAATTCTAATTCAAGTACAAATATCAATAATAATGGAATGATGATGATGATGATCAATAATTGTCCAATCAATGGTGTAGCAGCCAAAATTCATCGAATTCGCCATCGTAATTCACAGATTTCAATAAAAAAACCAATCAATTTAAATGAAATGATTATTAATGATGATGATGATGATGATTATAAAATCGATAGCTCCAGCAATGATAATGGTAATTGTTTCCATTTTATTTCAATTTTTTTATTCATTGAATTTTAATCCGGTTTTTTTTGTTCTATCTTTTGTTTGATTAGATAATTTAAATTATCCAAAACAACAACAACAATTATTGACAAGTCAACAACAGCAAGAAATTGCTAAGAATATGAAAATCAAACGATCCGTGTCAAATTTTGATTCCAATTATCTGGGCAAAATGAAACTGAAAAGTCATTTAAATTCATTGCTCCTGATGGATGATAATCCATGGCGTTTAAAACGGCCGGAACAAAATCCAAACAATACAAATCTATTGGCACAATATTTATCATTTGAATTTCTAAATGAACGTATTCATAATCGATTACAACAAGAGATTGAATGTTCACCAAATAATACATGGCGTTGTTTGAATTTTCAAACATCAAAATCTGATAGTGCAACAGGTGTGAATAGTAATAATAATAATAATAATAATAAAATAATCTTTATACAACACAATCATCACAACGTCCAATAAAATCATCTGATACATTGATTATGGCCAAAAATTTTTCATGTAGTGAAATGAATTTATCCACAGCAACAAAACAGGCTAGAAATAAACAAACAAAACAGAAAACGGTTAATAAACGTAAAAGTTTTAAAAAATTTCTTGAACATTATTTTCATAATGAATCAACAAACACACGTAATGCAAGTGTTTCAAGTGAAGAATTATTAACTGGATTTGATCAAAATTTCATATTGAAACGTAATACACCGAATGCTGGCCTTACCGATGATGAACTATATAAAACTTCAAATTGGGAATGTAAGATGATTTATTATATACAATATAACTGGCTATTTATTCTGTGAATTTTTTTTCTTGTTTGTTTTCATTATTTTCATCACGAATTAGATTATCATGGACAAGAATCGACCATTCTAAATCATAGTTTACGTACATGTAAAAAATCAAATCGAACATCATCATCATCATCTACATTGGTTAACAGCTGTTATGGTACAACAAATAGCAAACAAATTTCAAATGTTGACAAACAATTAGAAATGGTGGCCAATCTTTTTAATAATCACTGTAATAATGGATTTGAAGATACGGATTATCTTTCCGTTAGTAAACATTTCATTTCAAATGCTAATGGTGATAATAATCAAATGATTGCCGGAACAACAAACGATAATTATTCGGATGAATTATTATTATTCGGTCATAAGTCAGCAGCTAATGCAAAAAATTTTTGGTTCATGACTGATAATAATAATGGTGACGATAATGGAAATGGTTTGCAAAGAAAATTACCATACAAAATGGTAAATAACGGTGGTATTGAGACAGAGACAAAATCACATCATTGGATTCCATCCAATGATTTAAGCAGTAGTGATGATTCTGATTGTGAATTGATTATTGATGATGATGATGACGACGATGATGATGCTACTGTTGTTGTTGAACAACAATCAAAACGTGAATGTTTTGATAATATAATTGAAGAAACAATTGCCAATATTGAAGTTGAAGATTTTCTTAATGGTCATATTTATGAAGATATAGATCATAGATTATTTTTGAAACGTTATCTACATCATAATAACGATGATGATGATGATGATGATGATGATAATAATTTAACAACATCATCGGCAACAAATATTCGTAACATACCTGATGGACCTTGTTTTACATTATCAAATCAATTGAAAACTTTATTACAAAATTCAAATCGTTTGAAAAATCATTATCTCTATTATTGATGCAAAAATTTCATTTATATTGTTTTTAATATATTAGTATGATGTGAATAATTCATTGTTATTTTTTTTGTGATTGTAATGTGAGAAAATTTAAATTTAAATCGGTTCAATCCGTATTATATTGTCGTTTCGTGGCTCATTTTTTTTTTTTTTTTTTTTTGACAAATAAAAATTAAAAATTATCCAAAAAATAACTGACACAATGTCTTGTACAAGACATAAACAAAAAATGTCAACAATAGATGGCCTAATAAAACTTTCCATTGGCCACTATTACCATCGGCAACGGTTTGATTATCACCATAATGAACATTGGCTGCCGATGATGGATGTAGGCCAACATTGGATAAATCGATTGAATATTTTTTCGATAGATCAGTAACCTGAGCATTAAGCATAAATTCTGGTACAATTTCATTCTCATCTTCTTGATACGTTGATGGTGATAATATTGTTGGACATGAATCAATTTTAATTTCCGGTCCAATATTGCCAGTAACAATTGTTGTATTATCCATTAATATATTGTTTACAGCATCGGCTGCAGCATTAGTAATAATGTTTTGTACAAATTCATGTACAAATTTTTGTTGCAATTGGCCATCATCATTAATATTTGGATTTGGAATTGCTTTCGATATGTTTGTTTCAATGTTCATCATTTGATTTTCATCACTTGATTGTTGTTTATCATGAGCTTGATGTAGAATATCGGCAATCTATTGTTGTTTGGAATGGAAATGAAAACAAAAACAAAAACAAAAACAAAAACAAAAACAAAAACAAAAATTATTATTGTGATTAATTAATTTGAATAGAATTGTTAAATGAAATTCTTGTGTTTATATGATTATATAATATATACTTCATAATTGTTGATTGATTTGGCCAACTGACAAGCAGTTAAGCCATCACTATTTTGGATATCAGTTCGTATCGTTTTTTGTTCCAACAATGTTTCGATAACTTGTTTATAATTTTCAACAACAGCATAATGTAAAGCCTAATTATGAAAACCATTATTTATTTACTTTTGGTTTTGCCACACACACACAACAATGTAACAAATATCTTACAGTAAAACCTTGATGATCAATACGATTCACATCAATACCATGATGACATAGACATTTGACCAATTTATTAAGACCCAAACGTGCAGCATGATGTAATGGTAAGCGGCCACAATGATCAACAATTTCGATTCGTGCACCATTTTCAAGCAATAATTTCATGCAATGTAATATTTGTGTTTCATCATTATTTCGACTAAGACAAACAGCCAATAATGGTGTAATTTCATCTAATTTTGTTTGTTTGTTTGTTTGTTTGATCCAGATAGTTATAATAGTTATAATAAATTGAATAAGAATTGTGGAAAAAAAAGAAAGAGATAGATAGATATTAGTTTGCCATAAGCGTAAATATATATTGTTGGTTAATAATAATTACTACCATTATGATAATTTACATCGGCTCCTCGTTTCAAACAGAATTGTATAAATTCTGGATATGCAAAATATGAAGCATACATTAATGCAGTCCATCCGGAACGTAGGATGGAATCGATGAAAAAATTTGATACATTTTCCAGAATCGTTTGTAGCTGATCCAGTCGTCTATTTATTATTGTTTCATAGACTTGTTGTAATAATAGACTGGATGGTGATATTGGCCGTAATACATTATCCATTGTTGTTGGCCTGAACAATGATAATCGATCTAATTGCTATACATGTTTGTGTGGGTGTGTGTGTTTGTGTGTATGTTTTAATCGTCGAATAAGAATATGGATTTAAAATAGAACCAAAAAACTTCACTACATTGAAAAAATTTACCTGATAATTTTTATTCGATAACATTTCCGGTGTAACTTTCTGTCCATCATCATCATCATCACCATCATCTTCCAATATGTTTTCATCTTCTTCTTCAATAAAATTCTCTTCCAATGCAACTTCAATCTCACCAATTTCTTCTTCATCATCATCATCATCATCATCTAGTTGACCAAATAATTCACGTTTCTTTTTCTTATTGGCTTGTATAGCATTATGTATCTCTAATTTACGTTGTATAATTGGATTTTTGGTCCTATATTCATTATTTGATTGTTTATTTTCATCATTATAAACATCATCATCACTGTCCAGATTGGTTATAATTGGTTTGCCTGTGTAGGAAAAAAAAATCATAAAACAACAACAAAAACATTTGTTTGTTTACGTTACCTCGATTATAATCAATAGAATCATCATCATCATCATTCAATTCAGCAATATTCCATTTATTTGATGCATGTTTTAATGATGCTAAATTACTTGCAACTTTATTATCGTCATCATCATCATCATCATCATCATATTTGGCTTTATATTTGTCATCAACATCTGATGTGTTGGTGGTTTTTACTGATTCATCCAATGATAATGATGATTGTGGTGGCGCTATTCTATCCATTGATACTATTGGCATTGTTTGTGTATTGATTTGTTCAGTAGTAGCCGTTGCTGTCGCTAGTTTATCATCAATATTTGATTTATTTTGTACATATTCCTGTTTAAGATCACTTGTTTTATTGAGCAATTCATCGATTCTATTTGCTACACGATCATATTCTTCATCATCATCATCATCATCATCAACAATTTCTTCATCTTCATATTCAATTTCTTCATCTTCGTATTCATTTTTCTCTTTATCATCATCATCATCATGATGATCAACGACAGGAATTTTATCCATTTTCATAGATAACGGTTGTTCTTGTTGATTTGCTACTGTGTTTGTATGATTGGCAATAATAGGCTGTGTTGTTTTTATTGTTGATTTCAATGGTTTCATTATATTTTCTTCATCAATTTCTTCATCTTCATCCACTTCATATTCTTCATATTCATATTCTTCATCATCATCAAGATCTTCATCCATTGGTGTTATCATAGTGGACGATGGTTTTAATATAGATTTCACTGGTGAAACTGGTACAACATTATTATTATTCATTGCTGATGATGGTGTTGTTTTCAATATGGTTATTGAATTTAATGAATCTTGATCTATTTTTGTTTGTTGTCGTTGTTGTTGTTGTTGTTGTTGTTGTTTATCGGCCATATTTTAAAACGATACACATATGCAAGAAAAAAATGAAAATATTCACCAACACTTTATTGGATTTAATTGAAAAAAAAATAATTTCAATTCATCAACCGAAAGATCGATATGTAGAATTCAATGAAGGCAAATTTTTTTTTTTACACAGCAAATAAAAAATGATAACTAAATAAAATGATCAAGTAAAATGGCTAGATGAATTTCACCAGAATATTGAAGAAAAAAAAAACCTCAAACCTAATGGAATTGAGTACACAACAACAACTACGACATTAATTTAGTCAGTTATAGATAGACAGACAAACAGATTTAGCTGCTGAAAAAGCCTGTATATCATTGACATCATCATCAACATTAATTGAATTTGAACAGAAAAAAATATATATAAAACAACAGAATCCAGGAAGAATTCGTGCCAAGCTTCATATTTTCATCATCATCATCATCATCATCATAATCGTGAAAAAGTGTGTTAAAATTTTCAAACAAAAAAATTCTACATATACAAGAAAGTAACTAAATGGAAACAAACATATAATTCTCCGTTGTTGTTGAGAATAAGAGAGAGAGAGAGGAATTTTTTTCCAAGAAGAAGCAAAAAAAACAAGAATGTTGCTGTTGTTTTTGTGTTTGAAAACGAATGTCAAAAATAATTTTTGATGATGATGATGATGATGATGATGATACGAGAATCTAAACATACACACACAGATACACACATGAACTAATTATTACTGTATATCGTCTATTTTTGATTTTAATTTTGTATTAATTAAAAATTGGTCGCTATTTTGTCGAAACTTTGTGTTCCAGAAATGAAAAATTTAAACAAAACACACACATGCACACACAAAGTATGTGAATTTGCAAAAAAAAAAAATTCTTTCCATTCAATTCCATTCTAAAGAATCAGCAAAATTTGTCATGATAATAGTTATATGATGATGGCGGTGATGACGAAAAAAAAATGGCAACAATCGGATTTATTTTTGGCAAAAAGCGAAACAAAAAACAAAAACAAGCAATACACATTGTGCTGCTGCTGCTGCTTCTGCTGTATGCAAATGAAACATTCGTTCTGAATTGAATAAATTCCGAATGTTTACCACATGTAACTACTAATATAGTGTCAGAATTTTTTTTCAAAAAAAAAAAAAAAAAATCAAATTAACGAAAAATAAAACAATTCAAAAACAAAGTGTAATTCTGAATTTGATTTTGAAACAATTGAATAAATTGGATTCAATTAAGTCATATTAGGAATTTTTTTGTGTGTAGCGAAAACGGAATATATCCAGAAAGAAATAATTTTTGTAAACAAAAATTTACAAAATTTATTTTTAGCCATTTACTAGAAATTTTGTTGTTATCAGTAAAGATTTATTGTTCATGATTTTGTCTCTCATAATGAATCGGTTATTATTCTTTGCCAAGATTTTCATTTTCTTCATTTTATTTTATACATTCTCATTCTGTCTTTCTATTGGTAAATTCTTGTTCCGTTTTGTTTTCATTGTTGTTGTCGTCGTCGTCGTCGTCATCGTGATCGGCATGTAATAATAAATACATGCTCCACATAAACAACAACAACAACAACATCAGTTTTTTTTCTGAAAATTATGACGCAACACAACAAGAATTTTATCCACATTTTTTTTTTGCTTTCACGAATCATTTAATTTATCAGAATTTTTTTTTTTTGCATTTTCCAAATGAAATGAATACGAATTTATGGATTGAATGAAATGTGTTCCATTTTTTTCCCGTCTATTCATTCGTTAATTAATAGCAATGACAATTTTGTTAACGGACAAAATAATGGAATTCACTTTTTTTTTTTCTCATCATTAAAATAATGAATTTTTTTTTCCAATTTCAATGAAAATTTCGTTTGTTAAAAAATGTTTTACTGTTTTGGTTATGGATTATGCTTTACAATCATCATCATCATCATTATAATTCGTTGATATTCGTTATCATTCAACCGTCACAAGATTCGATTCGGACACGCACACAGGTTCTCATCATCATCATCATCATATCACAACAACGACGATGACTCGTGAATGACAAACATCAATTTTGATCGATAATAGAGAAAAATAAAACTTGATCAGGTGGCATATAACTCTTTTTTTTTGTTTCTCTAAACACTGTAAATGTTTGTATATTACGATTTTATTTATTCAAATATGTTTTATACATTGATGATGATAATGATGATGATGGTAATCCTAATACAATCTAATTATAGTAACAACAATGATGATGATGATGATGAAAAAAAAACATTATCGATCTATCTGATGATTTTATATATTGGATTTACAGCTGATTGATTAATTTTAACAATTTTTTATCAATATTAACAATTAGCATAATGTGTAATAACAATATTGATAATGATGATGATGATGATGATGATCAATATTTATATTATCACACAGGTTCAGTTTGGTTCGTTGGACCATTTTTTTTTTTTTGGTTTCTCTCATTTTATCACCATGTATATAACAAGTGTTCAACGCTTTATGTACGGCGTCTCTATTGATGATGATGATGATGATGATTGGCGGCATTAATAAAATTTCGCTGTTCAACAAACATATGTGATAAGACAACAAAATGCAAGTGTGAGAATAAACAAAACAAAAAAAAATTTAACAAATTTGAAAATGCTCAACATTCAATAATGATATATATGGGTGACGATGACGATCTCAATTTATTGGGTTGAAATTTTTTTGACTCACTTGCTTGACCGATTCTCAGCTATAATAGATAGATAGGTAGATTTAATACATGAAAATTATATATATATTCTCATTATGATGATTGAATTTGAAGATGAAAAAAAAAAAAATTTTTGTCATGTGAAATCAAATTGAAAACCATGAACATTTGACAAAAAATTAATACAAAATGTTGTCGAATTGTTTTTATTTCATTCAAAATTCTTTTCAATTCCATTGTAGTAATAATCTAGACCACCTCGAACCGATAACCACAGACTCTCTTCTTCAATTCACACATTCAACCATTCTCTCTTTCATTTCTCCATTTCTATAGCCTTTTTTTTTTTTTTTTCTCTTTTTATCTCGTTCAGTTATCGATCATTATTGGTTGAATGTGAAAAAAAAATCTTCCATTAGATCAAATTTATGAAAACAAAATTGATCAAATGAATTTTGTCATGCAAATCTGTGACAACCAATGTGTTTTTTTAAATTTTTTAATTTTTATCAAAATTGAAAATAAAGTGTGAATTTAAATTTCGTTTTTTTTCTTTTTGGTTTTGTTTAATTTATCGTGTGCGTGCGTGTGTGTTTGATTATTAAAACAAAAATTCAATTTAAAAGTGTTTCGGTTATCAATTTTGAATGCCAAATAATGATGTATCTGAAAAATTCTTGTTGTCATTTTTTGAATATTCTGTCGATATTGACAATTTTTCTACAATCATTATCGGCACAGATTATGGCACCAATAATCAATCCAATGATGGCAAATATTCGTCCAATCATTCCTATTCCGATTCCTATTCGACCAATTATATTCACACCAATATCATTCCATCCGATTGCTGCTACTCCTCCGATTGCGGCAACATTTATGAATGATCCACCTGCACCACCAATACCACCGGTAAGCGTAATCGATGAAGCTACACCATTCATGAATTTTGTTCAACGTAATTTCTGGTCAAGAATGAGTAATGAACCATCTTCAATGTTTATGCGAAAATGGGATAAAAGACCATTTATGAATGATCGATCATCTAATAATATACAACGTCAACCATCCGATCATGATTGGTATCAAGATAACAACGAAAACAATAATAATAATAATAATAATAGAGATCGGAATTCTAGGCAAGAATTTCGACAACGTCATTGGCCATCAAATAGTAGATCAGATCATAATTTTCATCAACCAATTAATGATGATGCTAATGATGAAGTTGATGGTTATGATCGAGCTGCTGCTATGGCTCAAATGTACGATTCATTTGGACCAGTATGGGCTGAATCAATGAATATGAATTCAATGGGATTAATTCCATGGCATCAATTTCATCATTATCATCATCATCATGACCAACATCATCATAGAAAAATGTTCTCAAGTCCAGCAGATAATCCGAATGGATTTCAACCAACACCGATTTTATCACCACATCCAAATATGAATTTTCCATTAATAGCCAATCGATTTTCACCGATACCAATGCCATTGTTTGATGATTATGATGATTCATTCACCGGTGATACTATGGTTGGTCAAGCATCACAAATTAATGAACACGGTATCAATCGTAATAATAATCATAATGGATCCAATAATATCATATATGTTGTTAACATTGATGGCCGTAAAGGTAGTAAAAACAATGTAAAAGCAATTCGATTGGATGATTATCTTGCCAGAAACAACAATAATAATAATAACTATAATCAACGGCAACGGCAACCACGTTTCCCATGGTTAAATGGTAAAAATCAAATTGATCGTAGTTTATCATCAACAACAATGATGAATAGAAATAGAAAAAACATCAATAATGATAATAGATGGAATAGATTAACATTTGTGAATAATAAAAATAATAATAATAATAAAACAAATCGATCATTTTCATCATCACCACCACCAATGAAAAAATTACCAAAGATTGTTAATAGTGGTAATAGACAATCAACAACAGCAACAACAATATCGAAAACCAAATTGCATAATAATCAATCATTAATTGATGAAAATAATAATAGACAAAATAATATCGATCATCATTCATCGATACGATTAATTAATGTTAGCGCCAAAATTAATGTCGATGGTGATCATAATAATGGTGATAATAATAACAATAAAACAACATCAATAATTGCTAAACCTGATGATTCAATATTGAATGATGAACATGATGATGATGATGATGATGGTCGAAATAAGAGTAATGAAAATAATGAAATTTCAACACCATCACCAATATTATCAATGTTGGCTGTTCATAGACATCAATTGCAACAATTATCAATGTTAAGGGCTCGATTGAAATTATTGAAGAATAATCTCAACTATCATCATCATCATCATCATCATCAACAACAACAACAACAACAACGACAACAGCAATTGCATGATAAACAGCAAGATGATTTAAATGCTAATAATGAATCAAACATTGAACTAGATTATGATAATGATGATAATTATATGAATCATAAAATAATTCATGAAAAAAAGGATGATCGGATAAAAAATGATACAATCAAAAATCATATTGAACGACAATTGTATCGGCAAGCTGAAATGAATAATGGGAATAATAAAAATTTTGACCACCGTCACCATAGACTTCATCAACAATCAAATGAAGGTCAACAAACTAATACTAATAATAAACATAATCGAAGACATGTAACATTTTTGAGCAAAAAAAGAAATCAAAATTCAAGTCATAACAAATTTAAATATTATGGCAGTAGCCATTATAATCATCATCTTGGTGATTATGATAATCGAGCAAATGTTCATAATAATATTGTTACCATAGGAAATACAAATTTAACAGCTACAATGATAAGTAATCCATTTCGTGTGCAAGCAAATAATTTCAATTCATCGATTAATATGATTAGCCATGGCATTGATGAAAAAAATACCATGAACGACAACAAGATCAATGATGTGGTTGATCATCATCAATATTCAAATCAATCAATCAATTTGATGAATTCCAACATGGCCAACATTAATCACAAGCAATCGATAGATCAAGGGTATGAACAATCACTAAACATGGATGATGATAAAATAACTGACAACATGGAATGGTCAAATTCATCCATATTGAATGAAAAACTTGAATACCATGATGGTGATAATAATAATGCTTTCAATAAATCGGTCAATCTGCTAGCCAAACGTCGTTCACCATTGTGTTCAATATCATCAAAGATTATCGACTACTGTCGTGTGTATCCAAATGGCTATCTGGCTGATTATGATCATTATTGTCAAGTGAGTGATTATTTTTAATAATGATGATATCGCCAATGATTGATGAATATTTCCGATTTTTTCTTTCTGATTGCATCATTCATTACCCAAACAGTCTTATTTCCATTGTGCATATCATAATGGAATTATAAAAATTAAGCAGCTTACCTGTCCGAATGGTGAAAAATTTGATCAAGGTAAACCGAAACAAAACAGAAAAAAAAATCTCTAATGATAAAATTTATTCTGGATTCTCTATAATAGAAATTTCAATCTGTAGAACTGGACCAGTTAATTGTGACAACAAACCGGCAAAATCTTCACTGAGTTCTTGATTTTTTGTTTTCACTGCAGCTTTGAAATTTTCATCAGTTTTTCCAATCTTTTTTTCCTGTAATAATTCCGTTTTTTGCGAGAAATTTCTAAATTTAATTTCCGAAAAAATGATGACGATGATAATAATAGTCAAAACAAAACAAAACAAAAAAAAATCAAATTTCGAACAAAACAAAATTATTTTAATTTATTATTAATGATTAATTAAATTAAAAATTAAATGATGAATCAACTGGTGGACAGGTACAGAAAAGATTTTTATCACCATAAGCATCATCGATACGTGCAACTGTTGGCCATATTTTTGATTCTGGCTGTACATATGGCTAATGTATATAAAAACAAACAAGCAATGATGAAAATTTTTTTTTTGTTACAATTTCATCAATACATACCGCTGGAAAAGCTGCAATTTCACGTGAATAAGCCCGATCCCAATTGCTAGAACAAATCAATCGTTGTGTATGTGGTGCACCTTTCAATGGATTATTTTCTCTATCATAAACACCGTTTTGTATATCGGAAATTTCACGACGTATATTCAACAATGCATGACAGTAACGATCTAATTCTTGTTTTGATTCCGATTCAGTTGGTTCAATCATTAATGTATTCGGCACTGGAAATGATACGGTTGGTGCATGGAAACCATAATCCTGTAAACGTTTTGCAATATCCATTGCTTCAACGCCTGTTGTCTGTTTAAATTCTCTTGTATCCAGAATAAATTCATGTGCAACCGTATTATTTTTACCAAGATACATAATTTTGTATTCATCTTTCAATATTGCAATCATATAATTGGCATTCAGGATGGCCACTTCGGATGAATGTCGTAATCCTTTTAAGCCCATTAATTTAATATATGCCCAACTAATGGGTAATATGGCAGCTGAACCCCATGGTGCTGCCGATACTGTGCCAAAACTATCCGTTGAATTAGAATAATCATTTTTCTATGTTTTAATCAATCAATTTTTATTTTACCTTTTTGGTACACGAATCACATCATCATGAACGATCGGATGTGATGGTAAAAATGGTGCAACTAAATATAATAAATTCATTAGTATTTAACATTAGGAAATAATCAATCATTGAAAATTAAATTAAAAAAATACTAACGATGTTTTTTCACAGCAATCGGACCCATTCCTGGTCCACCACCACCATGAGGAATACAAAAAGTTTTATGTAGATTTAAATGCGAAACATCACTACCATAATCGCCTGGACGACAAAGTCCAACCTGTGCATTCATGTTTGCGCCATCCAAATATACTTGTGCCGAACCACATGAATGTATCATATCGCAAATATCGCTAATATCTTCATCGAAAACACCGAATGTTGATGGATATGTAATCATAAGGCAGGCAATCTGATCATGAAGTTTATCCAATTTAGCTTTCAAATGAGCTTTATCGATACTTCCGTTTTTCAGTACTAAAACCGGTTCAACACGAAGACCGGCCATATTTGCACTAGCTGGATTAGTTCCATGTGCCGAAACCGGAATTAAACATACATTTCGATAACCTTCGCCTTGTGATTCAAGATAGGCTTTGATACAACGTAATCCAGCATATTCACCTTGAGCACCGGAATTCGGTTGAAATGATACATTATCATAGCCGGTTAATTCACAAAGATCGTGTTCCAGTTCATTGATTAGTACTTGATAACCTTTAGCCTGTGATGGTGGAATATATGGATGTACATCGGTTATCATTGGCCATGAACATGGTATCATTTCGGTGGTGGCATTTAATTTCATTGTACATGATCCTAATGGTATCATTGAATGTACTAATGATATGTCTTTGTTTTCCAATTTTTTCATATAACGAATAAGATTAGTTTCGCTATGATATGAATTGAATAATGGATGGGTTAAGAATGGTGATTTTCTTACGATCGCACTTTTCAATAGACCACTTTCTTTTTGGATAAAATTGTATGGATAATTTATATGATCGGTATGTTCCTCTTTTTCACCTTCCATTACCCAAATTAAATCATTAAGATCTTGATCGGTCACAGTTTCATCGATAGAAATGCCAATATGATGTCCATCCGGATAGTATCGTAAATTGATACCAACAGCATCAGCTCTTGCTTTTATATGTTTAGCTACATGAACTTTCACTTTTAATGTATCAAATGGATTATAAGTGATTACACGATTAACGCCTCTATCATTAATTTTTTTGGCCAAATAAAGCGCCTTCTTGTGAATATCTTCAGCAATAGCTCGTAGTCCTTTTGGACCATGATAGATGGCAAACATAGCACTCATATTAGCCAATAATGCTTGCGCTGTACAAATATTTGATGTTGCTTTATCACGACGGATATGCTGTTCACGAGTCTGTAATGCTAAACGTAATGCCTGATTACCTTGAGCATCTTTGGTCAAGCCTACTACTCTGCCTGGAATTAACCGAGTTAAATAGGCACGACATGCCAAAAAAGCTGCATGTGGTCCACCATAGTTGAGCGGAATTCCTATTGTGAAATATCAAAGCAAACAAAAACGTAACAGTGGACAAATGGAACAGCAATTAAATGTTACGAAACCAGGATAATTAATCACATGCTTCCAAAATTTGGAATGCACAACAAAATGAATCAAATGAAACATACCAAAACGTTGAGCCGTTCCAATGGCTATATCACAGAATTGGCCATATTCTCCTGGTGGTTTGACCATAGTCAATGCTAACAGATCAGTTGCAGCAATCACTATTGTTTCTGTGGCTTTTGCTAGATTTACAATCGATTCAAGATTGTCTACATTTCCATTCGAATCCGGATAATGTACAAGTATTCCACAATATTCAGCCAAATTATATGTATCAGTCAATGGTTTCACACCATCGAATACATCTTTTGAGCCATCAAAAATTTCAAATTTAATTCCTAATGCTTCACATCGTGTTTTAACGATTGCTGTTGTTTGTGGATGTGCATTATTTGAGCATAGAAATTTGCGTCGTTTTTCTTTATGATATCTATACGGAACAATGATTATGTTTTTTTTGTCAATTTTTTTTGATCATCACCAATATTAATACCTAAAACACATTTGCATAGATTCAGCAGCTGCAGTTCCTTCATCCAAAAGGCTAGCATTAGCAATATCTAATGCAGTTAGATCACAGACCATTGTCTGAAAATTTAATAATGATTCTAAACGGCCTTGAGCAATTTCCGCCTGATATGGTGTATATGGTGTTGTCCATCCGGGATTTTCGAAAATATTACGCAAAATTGGTGCTGGTATTATGGAATTATAATAACCCATTCCAATATATGAACGCCATTTACATTGATTTAAATCGGCAATATCTTTCAATCTTTTTAATATACTTGTTTCATTGTCTGGTTGATCCAGACGAATCTCTTTCTGTAATTGGATCGATTCTGGAACTGTTGCCTGTATCAATTCATCCATTGACTATATATATATATAACATAGAAAAAATACAGAGAAAGAAACAATATCCAATAAATGATAAATGATCCACAAAAAACAATGAGTAAGAGAAGCAAAAAAAAACAATAAATAGATATAACTGGAGTGGAAATCAGATAGAAAAAAAACACAGGAAATTCAATACAAGATAAAAACAAAAAGAAACCAACATTGAAACCAATCTTTTTAAGCATTTCAATTTTATCATCATCACGTGGACCAATATGTCTTTGTATGAATGAATTATGTGGTTCGGTTATTATACGATTATTATTATTGGCATTGAATGATGATGATGATGATGAAAATAATATGCTTGTTGAACAACATATGCTACGAAATTGTTGTTGTTGTTGATGATGATGATGATGATTTATTCGATTGAATTGTCCCGTTTTTATATTACGGGATAATAATGAAAAACGGTACATTATGAAAATGATCGTGATATCACGTACACATACACACACAATAAGAATTGTAGAGAATCTAAACAATAAAAATATTGATCCAAAATTGAAAACAAACACACACACAGACACACTCAAACAAAAAAGAAAGTTAATTGATTCAAATTGTTGTGACGAAAAAAAAACGCATTGATTTACTAAAGATTTAAATGATGAAAAATATTATCATTTACTACTACTTGCAATTGGATCAATGATGATTCGATTTTGTGAAAAAAAAATTTTTTTTCTCTTTGCTACTGTTTATACTGTACACATATATATTCAGGTGGCTTATTGATTATAAATCGATCATCTATATCATTGATTATTGATTATTGATAATTAAAGATTTGTGTGTGCAATAAAACCCCTCCCCCCCACCAAAAAAAATCACACGTTCAATGTGTGCAAATTTCAAATCTTATTTGTGATGATATATCATAATTGATGATTGAAATATTATGATTCGATTTCATTTCAGTATTCATATATGATTGTGGATTTTATTTCATCAATAATAATAAAATAAAAAAAAATAATATTTATTTTTTGATATAAACGATTGATCGATCAATTCGATCAATGACAATTTTTATCATAATTATTATTTCCATCATCATCATATCAGAATATTTATGAATGATAATCATATTATTTTTTTTTCTCCCTAGTTTTCTTTTTTTTTTGAATATATTTTATTATCATCATCATTATAATTTATAGTCCATTATATCGATGATAATAATGTTTATATTTGTGCAAACAAACAAAAAGAAAAATAAACCGATCATATCTATCAGTGAACCATGGCGCCATGGCTCGTGTTCATTTATTCGAAATTGTTTTTTTGTGTGTGTGTGTGTGTGTGTGTGTGTGTGTGTTTCGATGGTTAACATAAATATTATACTAACCGAAAAAATAATTTAACCAGTAGCAATCATAAGTAAGCAAAATGAAAATATAAATGTGATTGAACACAAATTATCATAACGTTATCAATGATAATAAATATGATGAAATGAAATGTATAAAAAAAAAAATTCCTAATAGGGAAAATTATTTTTTTTCATTTCATTTCATTTCATTCAATTTAAAAACATACAAATAAACATAAAGATATGCAACTAACAAACTGCTGTATTGTATTGGACACACCCAAAAATGTGATATGGAAAAAAGCTTGAAAATTTGATTCTTGATTCTTGAATCTTGAATTTTGAATCAAGTCAAAAAGCATTGAGAGAGAGAAAATAAAACGAAAAAACAATTTCTGATCTGATTCGGTTAATTTTTATTTTTATTTTTTACAAGCATTTATTCAATCATTCATTCATTCTTTGAATATATTATGATTGGTTCCGAATTTTTATTCGGGTCGGGTCGGCAGTTATTTTTTTTTTCTTTTTCTCATGGATTTCGATTGATTCGATTCGGAAAATATTGATGGTGGTATTAGTGGTGGTGGTGCGAAAAAAAAACGAAGGAAATTTCAACGAATAAAAGAGGGAGAAATATTACAATACGAATACAAATGAATCACAATATATGGAATTCTATAAGTGATGAAAAGCCAATCATCATCATCATAGAATAATTCTGAAAAGAAATAATAATAAGCCTGTGGGATGCTGTGTGTGTGTGTGTGTGTACAATGTTTTGATTTTGATTTTTATTTTTGAAACTACTTTTTGAATGAACGTGTGTGTGTGTGTGTGTGTGTGTGTGTATTTGGTTTGTGTGGTCGAACAAAATAATCAAGAAAAATAAAGAAAACAAACACAGTGGATAAATTTTAATATGGATCTATATATAGAATTTTCATTTTACAGTATTGCAATTTTTTTTTTTTTTTTTTTTTTTTTGGTCCATTCATTTGGGATTCATGTGTTCATTATGATGTTGATGATGATGATGGCAATGATTCTCAAATTCCAATTACAATGTTGCCTTTTACTATTGCTTTTTGTTCATTCAAAATTTTTCACCCAGTTTTTTTTCTATTTTGCTTTCACTTTACTTTTTTCGATTTTCATTTCATTTCATTTCGTTTTGTTTTGTTGTTATTTTTTTTTCTTTTGATTTCGATTACAATTTACCAATTTTATTCTACAGTTAATATAGAGAGAGAGAGAGAGAGTGAAAATGGAAAATAAAATTTGGATTTGCCTTCAAGGCATACCAATATGTGAGAATGATGTGTTTGTGTGTGTGTGTGTGTATGCGTGGGTGTTTGTATAAAAGTTATATTTGTTTTCTAGTTAGTTAGATTGGAAGAAAAAACAAAATATTCAAATATTGAAGCAACAACAACAAAAAAAAATCTATATTCAACTTGCTTACATGGAAATGAAAATTATTCTTTAGTCGTTGTAGAAATGATAACATATCGAAATTCTTGTGACACTAAAAATAAAAACAAAACAAAAAAAATCCAAAACAAAAATATTGATTCACATCATCACCATCATCATTGTTTCATTCATTTTTTTCGGATGGTTGTTTGAGGCAAATTGATTTTTTTTTTTTGGTTTTCATATCATAGGATTTTCATATTTATTCACATCATATACACAAACATTATTCAGCAATGACCGTCAATATTTGTCAACTTTATATATTTTTTTTTCTTTCTTGTTCCACTACTTTTGTTTTCATTTTCCAAATGTTGTTGTTGTTGTTGTTGTTGTTGTTGTTTGCTTGTTGGCTTTATTATTATTATTTTCATCATCATCATCATGGTTGATGTGTGTTTGTGTGTGTTTGTGCATTATCTTACCATGTTTTATATGTGTGTTGTTGTCCAAAAAACAAAAAAGAATATTCTTTCTACGAATTTGTATTTTGGATGCAAGTGTACCATATTTTTTTATTTTCTCTTTTTTTTTTGTTTTGTTTTGTTTTCATCTCGGCCAGCACAGAGTTTCGATTCATTTTTTTTTTTCGTCTTCTTCAATTTTTTTTTTTTCGTTGGCAATTTCATTATTTTTTCCATTCGAAATGCCTTTCTTTGTTTATTTCCTCGTTTGGTCATTCTTTTCATTTCATCTTCGTCGTTGTTGTTGTTGTTGTTGTCGTTGTTGAATGTGTCAATGTTTTCTTTGATCATGTTTTTGTCGTCATCATCATCATCATCATCATCATCGTTGTTTGGTTGCCTGGTGAATGGAAAATCTGTGTATCCAGAAAAAAAATTTGTTTTTTTTCATTATTTTCATTTTTTGCTTATAGTGGTTGGAATTTTTCATTTTTTTTTCTCTATTCCTGTTTCGGGTTTCGGCTATTATATCATGTCTGCCATGATGGTCATGATGGTATATACACAATATTCGAATATCGATGTACCAAATATATATATACATAGATGTTGTATTATGAAAAAAAGAATTGAATTAGATAGAAAAAAAACCAGCAGCTTATTTTATTCCAGCAGTAGTCAAGTTAAATTCTGTGTAGGTTATTCAAGTTTAGTTTAGTTTAGTTCAGTTTATTTTTTTTCTGGTACAGATCAGTCCATCCAGTTCACAATTCAAGTTTGTTCTAAATTTTGTTTCTCTCTCTCTCTCACTCACTGTCTCTATTTCGGTCAACCATCAACTACGAAAAAAAAAACTACAATGACCAGTGATAAAAAAAATAAAGAAAATAAAAGAACATTTTGTTGTGCTGAATTGAATTTTATGCAATACGACAATACACTCACTAAATCACAAACAAACAAAATTTGTAGGAAAGAATGGAAAAAGAAAAAAAAATTTTAATTTGATTTTTTATTATTCACAATGCGTGTGTATTGGTCCTTGCACACACACACACACAGTGTTATATCATTGACCGTAGAACTGTTGTCCGATTTATTTCCTGGCTATTGTTTTTTTCCCTTTGATTTTAATTCAAATTGCATTTATCCTTCATTATCATCATCATCATCATCATTTAATTGAAATGCAAAACCTGGATTGTAGAATTGGTAATTTTATAATTCAATGTACAACATGTGATCATCATCATATTATTATGTATGTCAATGTTGTTGTGTAATTCTGATTCTTTTACTCAATCGTTGTAAATTTATGTGATTAATGAATTTTGATTTGATAAACTATTCGTGTGTGTGTGTGTGTGTGTGTGTATGCGTCTGTTAGTTGCAGATAATCAACTCTATTACTAGAAAAAAAATCGAATCGTTTGTTCGATTGGAAAATAATTAACTTTTTGGTTGTTGTTGTTGTTGTTGTTCATCAATTGATTTTAAATTAGTTCAATGATTTTTTTTTTCGTTGCTAATGGACAAAAAAAATTGTTAATTACTTGAAAAAAAACCCGCCAAAAACATTCAAATTGATTGATTTTCGCTCATGAAAAAATAGGATTCAAAATGAAAGAATAAAATTGAAGAATTGTGATTGACAATAAATTGATAACGAGAAAACGAATTTTCAAATTCCATGACATGCACACACACACAAACGCACGCAAATATTTACAGTTTAATCCCTTTTTGTTTTTATTTTGCTTCAAAAAAAAAAAAAGAATATATCCAGAAAAATCCAGAATGAAAAACGACAATTTTTAATGTAGCTATATGAATGTGTAATATTCTGTTGTCGTCGATATATATACAAAATAATCTTCAGCTCATTGACTTTATTGCGCTGTTGTTGTTGTTGTTGTTGTTGCTGCTGTTGTTGTTGTTTTATATCGAACGAACAAAGTACCAAAAATGGAATAAAATGAAAAAAAGCAATAGGCAAGAGAGAAAAAAAAGGAATTTCAAAATTTTCATCCCGAACCCAAATACACGGCATAGGCAAAAAAAAAATAGGAAAAATGAAAATGTGAACTAGGAACCAGTGATAGGAAAAAGGTTCATCGCATATATCGTTTCTAAATGTGCTACTGAGTTATCATATACAGCAATAATAATAATAATAACAACAACGACAACATTGGATCATTCTGCATCAAATCCCGGAAAACGACATCAAACATCCACACACAATACAAAAACAAAACTGCCATAGCACATTGCAGCATAGTGGAGAAACATTTTGATTTCGTTTAGAAAAAAAAACAAACTTTATGAAAATCTTCGTTTGCTTTTCACCACCACCACCACCATCATCCAAAAGAGAACGAATAAAATGTGAATGAATAATGTTTTTGGATCAAAAAAAAAAAATCATCCAATAAAATGTAGTGAAGAAAAATTAACTCTGTGTTTGTTTGTTTGTTTTTTTTTTGTTCAGCATTTTTCATTACATTCAAAATTCAATCAGAATTTAACGAATCTGGTTAATGCCCATTTGCCATTTGTAAGAGGAAGAAGAAGACAACGACGAATAAAAATAATTCTTGAAATGAATTCTCATACTAATGAATCGACAACAGGAATTGAAATTGAAACAAACGAAAACAACTGGGAAAAAAAATACAAAATACAAAATAAAAAAAAAAACAGAAAACCGAATTTCTGCTTTTTTTTGTTTCGTTTCATTTCGTTTCGTTTCGTTTCGTTTGTTTGTTTTTAATTCAATTATCTTCAAAATTACAATTTTACTGACAATTACGATTCGTATGAATTGTTGTTGCACAAACAACAACAACAACAACAACGAAAAAAAAAACAGTTGAATATTGAAAAGTGAAGACAAGATCCACAGACAAACGTACACACACACACACGAATAGACAAGAATTTCATAGTATTTTTTTCATCATCATCATCTGGTTGAAATGTATCTGGTATTCTCAGTAATAGATTGTTATCATTTTTTTGTTGTACAAACCATGTGTGGAGAGAAAAAAAATATGAATTTCGAAATTAAAGTTATTATTACTGCTGTCAAAAGTCAAAATGATGATGATGATGATGATTGAACATCTTTAATTGAATTTCCACTACCGCAAAAAAAAAAAATTTTTTTCAATTTATTTCACACTTTTCCATTCATTGCTTTCAAATTTATTTATTTTTAATTTGGTTTTTCGCGCTTCTTGTGATGTTTGTTTGTTTGTTTTTCATTTTCATTTGCATTTACATTTTCATTTTCATTTTTTTAATTAAATTTTAAAAAATGAAACAAACGAATGCAATCGAGTAATGTGGGCCAAAAAAAAAAAAAAAATTATTACCAAATATCGAATGGTTCTCATTTTTTCAATTTTCATTTTTTATTATTATTAATATTTTATCAATAATCGATTGATTAGGATAATGGAAATGTTTGTGGAAAAAACGATGATGAGAGAGAGAGAGAAAAATATTAAAATTGTAAAGAATTATTTGAGATGATCATGATAATAATGATGATGATGATGATGATGATAATGTTTCGAGCATTTTATGTTTCATTTTATTATCGTAAGCAAAATAATATCAAATGACAAAAAAAAAAAAGAAGTGGATAAAGAGAAATGATGGAATGAATGATGACAATGAAAAAAGTCGATGACAATAATAATAATGATGATGATGATGAAAGACTTGAATGAATAAATGAAGAGCAAAGAGCAAAAAAAAAAAAAAATACGGTCGTTAAGCCATGGAAAAAAAATCATCTGAAACCTTCAGGGTACCAACATTGAAGAATGTGGCTGTCAACAAAAAAAAAAAGAACTATTACAACAATGATGACAATCACGAGCTGGAATCTGGATCTTTGTTGTTGTTGTTGTTGTTGTGTATATTCTGTCAAATAGGAGAAAAAAAATTGTCGAGTATAGTATAATGTATATTGACGAATGTGTGTGTGTGTGTTATATCCATTGAATGGATGTATATCCTGTTGTTGTTGTTGTTGTTGTTGTTGTATTCTTCAATTTTTTTCCACTTGTTTTATGTTTTTTGTTGTTGTTGTTGTTGTGAATAGACCAGTTATTTTATTTTATTTTATTTTTTATATAGCAAAGAATCTCTGTTTCATTCACTTTAATTTGAAGTGAATTGAATTGAGAATTGAATAAAATAAAGTGAATTGAATGGGAATGGAATGGAATGGAATCATAGGAGTAAGCATAAAGTTTGTATATGTGTGTCATAACAAATTCAGAGATTCGCAACAACACAATCGATCCAATCGTTTTTATTGTTGTTGTCTTTGATCGGAAATTCTTTCATCTGACAAACTTTTTTTTTTTTTTTTGATTGAACAATGTCTGATGTATGTTTGTGTGTGTGTGTGTGGGCAATAGAAATTAATGTCAGAACGAAGGAAAAAAAATATACAAAAATGAAGTATGAATAAATTGGTTATTTACTCGTTTGCTTGGTTTTTTTTCATTCATCTTTTCTTGTAGCTGGGAAAAAGGTTTTTTTAGATGTGTGTGTGTATGTGTGTGTGTAATCCTTTTTTCTCAAAATTCATTCAGACAAGTTTGTTGTCATTGTTAAATAATGATGATGATGAGTTAGTTTCTTTGGAAAAAAGATGGATCACATCATCATCATTGAAATTCTGGCCAATTTCAATTTTTATTTTTCAATCATAAAAAGTTTATATTTTGGCTAAATATTCTAATCAATCTTTTTTTTCAGTGTTTGAATAAACAAACAAATGCACACGCCACACACAATTCACTCGTTTTTTTTTCACTGATCAGATTTAATTTAGATTTATAAAAAGCAAAAAAAAAAATGAACGAAATTTATGTTTATTCCATCTATAAGATGAGATGAGATGGTATGATTACAAGTTTTTTTTTTAAAAAAAGAGAAAGAAACGGATAAAGAAGAAGAAGAAGAAAAAAAAAATCCATAAAATTCATTCATTGAATCCACAGATTCAAGATTTAAGTGTGTTTGTTGTTGGTGTACCAACAAACAATCAATCAAATGCTTGAATTTTTTTTTCTTCTTCTTCTGTTACTTTTTATTTCATATAAACACACACACACACATATACACACGAAACGACCAGAATTATACCAGATCATGGTGTTTTTTTATGTCAAACTTTTTTTTTCTCCTTTCTTTATACCCAAATCACTCATTGATTGTCAATGTTTGTTTGTGGCCATTGATTTTTTTTCTGGTTCTGTCACGCTCTCTTTCTTTTTCATTCTATTTTTCATTCATATAGATTTGAAACTTGTTAAGGTTAATACTGATATTGGTATATATTATTGTGTTGTTGTTGTTGTTGTTGTTGTTATTGGCCTTTCTTGGAAACTTTTATGGCCAAAAGTAAAAAAAAAAATTGAATTTATGTCGATTCAGCAATCTGATTCGTTGAATGATCGTCAACACCAACAACATCGCCACCGCCACCAACATCAATATCGTTACCAAGTTGTAGAATATTCAGATTTTGTTGTTGTTGTTGTTGTTGTCATTAATATTATCGATTATATTCGAATCACATCTGTTTGACTTGTCAACAATATCGTTGTTTGTATTTATGTTGTTGTTATTGTTGATGATGTTGGTGGTGGCGGTTTTGTCGTTGTTTTCATCATTTTTATTGTAATCTTGATTGACATTGCCTGATTGATCATTACCATTTGATGATTGATCACCACCATTAGTAATCAATTGTTGATCACCAATATTCGTTGTCGTTGTCGCAAAATCGACACATGATTCAGCTATTATGTTCTGATTACTTAAACTATTACTATTGGAAAAATTGTTCATCTGTGTTGATCCATCTTCGGATTGTGATTCTTCAATTGTTTGTAATTTTTCTCTTACTAATGCCATTGATGCTGCCTGTTGTTGTTGTTGTTGTTGTTGATGTTGATTATTTTGCACTGTTTGTGGATGACAACCATAGCTACCCATTGGTGTTGCATAACAAGGATCAGTTGAATCAAATAGATATGCATTATGATAAACTAGATGTGGCGCAAATGCAGCAAATGATGCAAATTCATTTGAATAAACATCACCAACTGTAGGCATACTGGTGACCGTAGTTCCGGCTAAAATATTTGATTTTTCAACAGTACCACTAGCCACACCACCACCAACACCAGCACCGCCACCGACACCGACACCGACACTGCCACCACCACCACCACCACCACCAGTAGTAGTAGTAGCGGAAGTACCCGTTGCTGAACATTGTGGACCAATTACACTCATTTCAGCAATAACTGGTCGACCATTGGCTGTTGTTGCTAGATAAAAATCACTATCCGATTGATATTGATGAATATGATTACGCCATTCACCTAATTAAAATCAAAAATGTAAAAAAATTTGAAATGAAAAAGAAAATCAAAAAAAAAAACATGATATTTAAATCACATGATGATGATGATGATGATGAATCATAAAAAAACATACCGATACGACGAAAACATGGTTTAAAAATAAAAATAATAATTAAACCAGGTACTAAAAAGTATAAAACATATTCGAAAAAATTTGCAACATTCGATGAACCTTCATTATATGATGAACGATCATGTGGATAGCCATCAACACCTTTCATTGAACGTATTGATGAACCACTATGAAAATAATGTGTATAATGGGCACCAATACGTTGACATTGTGGTATCATTGTTGGTTGATGTTCATAACCATCAGCACAAATACATGTTTTATTTGTTGAACACACTGTAGGATAATTACATTCAAATGGTAATAATGATGATGATGGCGATGATGAACCACCATCAAATTCATCATTCACAAATGTATCACGTAACAATGAACGAGATGAACGATCATTATGGAATTGTTGTTTTTGGCCAATATAATATTGTCTATGATTATCTAAATTCAATAGATTTTCATTATAAATTGGATTTACTGTGCTTGTCGTTGTCATAGTCATCAATAGTTCATGTTGTTGTTGTTGTTGTAATGATTTAACCAATTGCCGAGCACGTCGATTCCGGAATCGTATACTTCGTTTTGATGGATTTATATTATTATAATGAGCATTTTTATCATTAACTGAATTTTCATTTATAACAACGTTTGTTGATATTTGACATGAATGTCCATAAGTTTCAACATATTGACATTCTTCAGCTGTTTGATTATAATAAAAAAATTGACTACAATTACAGATATTATTCTCGCATACAAGATTGGCAATTTTATTACGACTTGTGCTTGCCAATGCCGAATGTGATGTAGTTAATGATGATGATGATGATGATCCCAATAATGGATGTAAATGTGATTGATGTAATCCGCCAGTTCGATTTGATCGATGACCACCGGATTCGATATGTTCAAGATCTTCATCAGCCATTTCACAATCCCAAACATTTGAACACCAGCTGCCTATAATACTTCGTACACAGGCATTTAATCGTTCATCAAAACGATGTCCAATACGGCAACGACATTCACCCATTGGCCATGAACTTTGGGATGGTCCAAAAAAGGCACTTGGATTCTCTTCACGATATTCTTCACGATAATTAAAGCAACCAGAATTGGCCACTTTACGTTCACATTGTTCAGTAGTATAGCAAGCTTCACCAATGAATGATGGCCGCAAACAGTAAAGATTGGCAATCCGTATCAGATAACCAGGACGACATATACACATACCATCATTGTCACAAATGGAACCATTTTCATCAAAACAACCGGATGGATATATTTCAAAGTTACACTTTTTATTTGGTACTAAATTGGCACCAAAACCAGCCGGTGGTGGATTTAATAATATTTTCAAACGATTCTGTTGTCCACTAACAGCATTGGATGATGAATGTAATGGATAATATGAATTTCCATTTGATGAATAAAGGGAAGACAATGCGGCCATTTTAGGTGGCTTTGATTTGATCATCATTAATGATGTTGCCGATGATGGTGATGATGATGATGATGATAATTTTGAATGTGATGGTGACAGATGATTAACAACAAATGATGATGTTGATGATAATGACGATGATGATGATGATGGTGATGAATAAAGATGTGTTAATCTTCTTGATCGACGTCTTAACATTGTAGCGGTAACAGCATGATTCCAGAATGGATTATTATTACCATTACCATTAACTTTATTAACCAAAAGCTGTCTTGATTCTCTTTTCAATTTTCTATTCGATTCATTCAAATGAATTGAATGTTGTTTCTGTTTCTGATTCTGATACTGTTGTTGATGTCTTATCTGATTATTATTATTATTATTATTATTGGAATTTATATTAATCCGATTTTGTTTATCAACATTATCGATATCATTATCATTACCATAATCATCATCACCATAAACATCTTCATAAATGTCATTATTATTTGTAGGCATCTTGTTATATTTATTGTAATAAGAACGATTGGTTTTCGAAATGAAATTGAAAGGCTTTACGATATTAATATCCATTGATGACGATGAATGATGATGATGATGATGATGATGATGATGAGGCAGAAATAATTGGCATATAATGAACAACAACAACATTGGTGGCCATATTATTATTATTATGGTGATGATCATTATTTTGTTTTTTAGATTCTGATGATGATAATGATGTTGTTGAATGAATAGATTGATTACCATCAATATTCTGATTGACGTTTTTATTTTTCAATGATGATGATGATGATATTAATTGATGATCAACAACATTATTCATAGCTTGTGATTGTTGTTGTTGTTGTTGCTGTTGTTTTTGTAATGTAGGTAATGATGATGATAGTGGTGGCGGTAATTGTGTACTTGTATCATGATTATAATTCATATTGACAACGGTATAAGAACCAGAAGAGGATGATGATGAGGCTGCTGTTGCTGCCATTACTAAATCAATCGATATAAATGATGATGATGATGATAAAAAATCTGAACAACACAATGTTAAAAGGAATAATAAAAAAATTATTAAAGTTCTTGATAAATGATAATGGCCCAATGATGATGATGATGATGATGATGATGATGATAATGATGAGGAGGAATAACCACCGGACAAGGATGTTGATATTTTTGATTCTGATTTTTTTGATAAATCAGATTCTGTTCTATGATCAATGATCAATATATTATTGTGATGATTAAACATTGTGATTTTATTATTTTTATTGAATAATAAAAAACATTTCCACAACCATGACCACCACCACCACCAACACCAATCAGATATTAATGATAAAAATGGCCTTAGCCATAAAAAACAATGATTATCAAATGATTTCATTGATTTTGATGACATTTTCTTTTCGTTTCTTTTTCAGAAAAAAAAACAAAAAATTTCATTCGATGATAAACAATCTCATATTTTATGTTGATGAAGAAAAAAAAATTATTTGCAAATCTTCAAATGGAAAATTGATGAACAAAGAAACAAGAGTGAATGAGAAAACAACCGATATGATACCTTTTTTTCTGGTCAAGTTTTTTGTTGTTGTTGTTGGTGTTTTTTTTATTTTATTTGCACGCACAAATTCAATCCAAATATAATCAAATATATGTGTTATATGTTTACAGAATTGATTATGTAAACATATGTATCCTGGTGTTGAATCAGAATGAATATTCTGTTATCAGTTTGATAATAGTGACGATGATATGCAGACCAACACATACACACACACACACAAACATAAGCCAGAGCCTTATTAATCAACAACAACAACAAATTTCGGTCAATCAACTTTGTTTGATTGGGTTATACAAAAAAAATCATATTCTTGTGATACAAGATATCATTATGATGATCATTTTTGACAGAATGAATGAATAATAATTCCGTGATTAGATCAAAAAAATAAAAATAGCAATGATCCACCTATATTGATGTAGGTGTAGATTTTCATGATGTCCATTAAAAACAATCAATGAACAAAAAAAAAACAAATTCTGTTTAGCTTCTTCATTGGACCAATACACTCTGATCGTCGTGGTCGTCGTTATTATTATTCGGTTGGAATATACAGATTTGGCGTTTAGTATATTTTTGGATCGGTCTGGATTTTTTTTTCGGTTTCGTTTCGTTTTGATCATAGCACATGATGTGCTGAATTCGATTCAATTTTTTTTTCTCTCGTTCATTTGTTGTTGTCGTCGTCGTCGTCGTCGTAGTTGGTTGTGTTTGTGTTTGTGTGCATGTAGCTGTCCTCTCAACTGCAAAAAATTTTTTTACCATCAAAAAATAGAGACTTTTATCTCTCTTTCTATGAACATCATCATCTTCAGCAATGTGGTGATACTTTGGTCCGTGTATATATGTGGGTGTACTAGTTATTATTGGTTCGGGTATATACTGCATATATATAATTCTTTATGAAAGGATCATTCTTTGGAACTTTTTTTTCCTACCAAGCTTGTGTTTAGTATGTGTGTGTGTGTGTGTGTGGGTATATATGAAGAGATTCTGTTTTTTGAGTTGATAGCAACAAAACCACCACCACCACCGACACCACTATCTTCGTTATAGCCAGAAAAAAAAACCGTGGACCATCATGAATTTATGAAAAAGAAGAGGAATATAAAATAATGTGAATGAACCGATCGACCGAACGACACGGTTAGTATAGTGTAAACTACACAAGAATCGTATTCACATATATACATGTGAATGTGTATGTGTATGTGTGTGGGTGTGGGTGTGCGTGGATCGTGTTGTTCCATTCCCGAAATTTTATTTTCGGTTTTTTTATATGAAATTTTTCTTTTTCATCCTTCTTTTTTTTCTCGATTCTCTGTATACAGAAATTTTCCTAGGAACAAAATTAAACGCCAACTCGAATGTTCACCCAAACAAACATACACACACACACACACATAAACATAGAATATTCCATTCTTCCATTCTATGTGTGTGTGTGTGTGTGTGTGTGTGTAGAATTTTATTATTATTATTATTTTATTTTGGGCTGTTTTTTGATCCATCATCAATTCATTTAAGCTTAAAAATCCAGCATCATCATCATCGGTCATGTCAGATAGTGAATATTTGCCACTACTGCCAATGTGTGTGTGTGTGTGTGAAAAACGGTATTAAACCAAGAATTTTCATTTTCATTCTTGATATGTTTTTTTTTCTTTTTTTTCCTTATTTTCTTTTTCATTCTATCATTATGAGAAAAAGATGGATAGTTGTATAGTGAATGAGTGAGTGAGTGAGTGAGAGCGAGACGAAAATTATTATTATTATCATTATTAAGCACTTTTTTTGAAATTCTGATTCTTTTCTGTTATAATGATTTTCACTCATTCTTTTTTTTTCTCAATAAAATTTCATCAAGCAGCAGTAGTATTAGTGTGGCGGTACTTTTCACTATTTTTTCCATTTTATTCCTCTATTTTGCCGTTATATTTCGTTGCAAATTTAATGAAGAATTTAATGAAGAAAAAAGAATATTCTTAAAGATAAAAACACGAAGAAGGAAAAAAAACGAAAAAAAAATTCAAAAATCAACACAAACATACACAGTGAAAAAAAACTCTTTCTTTTTATTTAGAATCTGCAATAGGATGCATATAATGACAAGTCTATAATTTAACGATTATACGATCATCATTTCAACAAAGTAAAAAGTAAGCACAACAAACAAACAAAACAAAACAAAAAATAAATAAATAAAACCCAAATGTCATTGTCATCATCATCATCATTCAACAACAACATCGACGACTACTATTCTGGGTTGATGATGATTTGTTACCAAGAAAGAAAAAAGAAAGTTTTTTCTGCCAACATTCAGTCTGTTCATATATTTTTTTTTGTTTCACTTTTTTTTATTATTTTTTTTGTTTGGTCGGTTGAATCGTTTTTTTTTCTCTCATTTTGGTTTCTCTCTTTCTCACATGTTTTGCCCGTTATGTATCCTTTTCAAGAGTTTTGGCTTTCTACTTGCTCATTCTCTCTCTCTCTCTCTTTTTGTTTGTTCCAAGTGACTTCTTAACAATTTCTTTTTTCTCTACATCCAAGTCAAATGAAAGAATGAAAAAGAATCTCTCTTTGTGTGCGTTTGGTGAATTGTTTATATAAATTTTTTTTTTTTATTCTTTTACTTCATATTCTAGCTTTTCATTTCATTTTCCGTTGTTGTTGTTGTTGTCGTTTTGAAATTATTATCCAATTACACTATAATGGGGTATACTTCACCATACTATATATATATATATATAGTGTATAACGTGTATTTATTCTTTTTTTTTGTATATTAAGCTAGGATTTTCACATCTTTATTGAAAGAAAAAATTTTTTTTTTTTTATTTTCATTCTCATTTTGATCCATTTCTGTTAGATATTACTATTGCCAGTATCAGCCAGCATTTGGAATTCTCCTATTACACACACACATATTGAGCCTTTGCCCAATGAACATGACAACGTCAAAAAAAAAATAGGAGAAAAAGATAGATAGATAGGATTGAATGTGTATGTGAGAGAGAGAGAGTGAGAGTAAAAAAAAAATAACCCTCAAAACTAAGCTCAAGAATAATAAAATGAATGCAAAATAAAGCTGTGTGTTAGCTTTGTTGTTTATTGTGGAGAAAAAAAAGAGATATAATTTTCGAAACACAAAAATCAAAAAAAAAAACCCACACACACACACCTCACCAGAATTTTCAAACAGGAAAACAAGAAAAAAAAGCGGAAACAAAATGAATGCCATAGAATCGAATATATTCTTGTACAAACACACAATGAATGAAATGGATGTTCAGAAATGAATAGATTTTAGAATAGTTTTGCGCAGCTAGAATCCAATCATTTTAGTAGTGAAATTGAAAATAGAGGCAGCAAATATAAAAGACAAGACAATATTACTTATCATTATCATTGCTATTTTTTTTTTTTTTTTTCAGTAGCAAGCAATGAAATTATTTTGTTTGACAATATATACATTTTATTTGTAATGTATATTTGT